TTGTATATATTTATATTATTTAGAATTAATTTGTTGCAATTGTAGTTTGAACGTAATATTTCTAATAGTAAGAAAACTATCAAACTTTGTTCCGCTATCAGTTCGGGGAAAAACGGATGAACGGCCACCGATAACTGGCGAAGAAAAGGCTACTGGAGAGAAGACGCTCGGACCGCAGATAAACGGAAAGAAGTTGGTTTTATTTATATTAGGAGGATCGATAGGGGGTTTCTTTTATCGCGACGGAAGCCGAATATCACGTGTTCTCGGTACTAATTGTCGATGCCGGAAATCCCCCGATCGCCACTGTTTTGAATGAATCCGAACGTTATCTCGTGAAAACGTTCTTGACGTCAGCAGCAACGAACGAGCGATTACTTACCCAAGAATTCCGGGTGCTAATCGGCCTGAAACTCTCTCCTTCCGCCTCCACGATCCGATTTATCTATGGATCTGTTTGACCAACAATATGATATACGTAATCGCAGATTTTGCCGAAAGTGTTCGTTTGTTTAAGAGCAGCCCGTGTTACGAAAATAAACAAACTACGGGAGTCCGATCTCTACCACGTAAAAAATAAAAAAAAAAAAACACTGGGAGGAAGCAGACACAAGAAGTTCTAACTAATTCATCCACGAAAAAACGGACGGAAAACTCCTTCAGTCCCAGTGTACTTCTCCCGTCAGCGAATGGCGACCCTGTTTTTGTAACATTCAGACCGGTGTTTATTTAAGGCCGACCACTCGGTTAAAAATCACATGTCTCCGAGATCATCTAGAAGTGTTCATCTAGCTAGCAGAGTTGTTTCTCGCTGGAGCATAAGCTGATAATAGCCTATAATTATCCGCGAAGGAACAGAGTCTCGACGTTCCGTGGGTTCTTTAAATAGTCCTCCGTGGTACGGTCCACGGAATTAAAGGGTTGATCGATAACCCTCTTAAACGTCCATTACATTCAATTCCAGCCGACTTTTCCCGTCCACGTTACTATGACATAATGGGCATTCCTCCCTGTAGGAAAACGCTACTTAACGGGCTGTTGCGTAACCAGACATTCCGTGGAGTAGTTAACATGATAATAAGATGGGGGATACGACGGGAGTGAAGCAACCCTCCCAGAGTTTGAAATTCTAATTGTGTGAATTCGAATGGCTGCACGAGGAGCCTGTTCGGCCGGATACATAAAAAACGATGCTTTCAAAGAAGCGGTAACTCCGACGATTATTGTGGATTTCATACGGGAAGCATCCTGGCAAAGGACCCCGTGGATGACTTTGTGTCCTGATTACGAAGCTATTGTGTTATTGTCACGTCTGTGCTCGACCGTGGTGAAGAACCTTCGCGGAGACGTAGCCGCGTCGCTTTCCAACGGCACGATGTCACCGTCATGCGGGTGCGCCGGCACGTAATAATTAATCCGTTGCAGAGTCTATTACGCCCCCTCGCTTCCGGGCCCCCGTCGATGAAGGAAACGGAGCAGGAAGCGAGAAGACTCTCGACGGATCTTCTTCTTCTTCTTCTTCTCGTGTCCATCCAGCTGTCTGCGCTCATTAGGAGGCTTTGGAATTTGTTCAAATGTGAAACAGAATATATTGAACTTGAATATTCGAGGAACCAAAATGTTGAAAACATGCAATTTTTGAGTAGAATCGATTTGTGACAATATTCTCGGGAAGCTACGATATCTACGGTTTTTATTCGTTTCTTTTGTTTTTCTTTTTTACAGTGTGCATTCACCTTAAACTTTTTCGATTGGGGTACTTTTTCGCGCGCCTGTCGAGAAACCGCAAGATTCGCCTTAAAGAAATTCGATCCAACGAGACCCAACGCGATTTCGACTTGTAACATTTTTTTTTCGCCCCGGTATCAATAGAGCACGTACGAAATCGCGTTCCACGTTTTCGTTCCGCTTCGGGAGTGTCCCGGACCTGTCCCGCCGTCTCGGGCCTCGCAACATCCGGCGCGGCGGCCCGTGGTTCCGGCTTTCTTGTGAGTACGCGTGTTCCTTTTATTCGAACCGGTCTCGATAAAACGTACTCTCCCCGTTCCGTCGAATCGTTTAACCTCGTGTGCAACGCTTCGTTCGCGACCTTGTTTGGTTTTAGCCCATCGATCGCATTTTTACCATTGTACGACTTCTCATGAAAGTGATATCCCTGAAATGAAAATCTCTTGCGAGTGTCGTTTCGAAATCCTTTGTCCCATCGTTCTCACGACGATCTCAGACTCTTCTTCGTGTCTTTGGGTAGAAAGAAGGACGGATTTGCTGACAGGGAAGATCCTTAACGCGTATTTCTCGGTCTGGATACAAGGTCGGGATTGTATCTTCGTTATCCTTCACCCCATTATCTTCTCAATATTCCCTTATTTTCTTGTATAATAGATACCATTGTTCAGACCATTCTGCATCCAGTCATTCAAGCAGATTTAACGATAGTTGGGGGATCATCGTGGTTAATAGATTAATCTATTAATTTCCTGTATTATCAATGAGTAAAGTAATCCTACATTTGACTTACTATAGTACACAGTAGCAACCAACTAGAAGACATTGACACCACGTAAAGATCATTGCACGCGACCGATGATTTTTCATAGTGTCCCGTCACTTACGTAAAGCTGTGCGGTGACTTGAAAGCCGCAGCCCCAGCGTCTCTTCCTACAGTCAGTTAACGTAATCGAAGAAAAGAAACGCTTGACCAGAATACATTTTATTCTGTGTATTGTACCGGTTCCAGGCAACCTCGCGGGAACTCGGGAAACGAAAAAACGGTCTTCTGCGCGGGTCTTTATCTTATCGAGTCGTGATAAAGCCTCCTGTGACCACGTTCTATCGAAATTAAAATGAGAATTTTTAATGTATCCATCCGCCATAGCGTTTATTCTTTCGTTGTTCCGTACAGACATTCTTTGCACTCTCAAATTTCTAATTTTGACTTCGCGATACGAATGCCATATTGGCATTGATTCTAAACAGCGGATAAGGGAGACCTAAGCACGGTGTGTACGACGATTAAGTGGTACCACCAGTGTATCTTTTTCATCCACATTGTCAGTCGGGCCCGCAATGTGCGACGTCCTGGCATGCGGGGTTCTCACAGAGAATTCTCGGTTCCGCCGACAAAAACTACGGGACCGACAAAGATAAACTTCGCTGCTACTCGCTCCGTACGCACCGAAACTTTCAGATCGTTTATACTATGAGAAGCTTTTTAATGGAAAAAAATAATTCGGTGACCCATCTATTATCACTTTTACTTGACCCCCTTTTTCTTGTATACTTTATTACACATATATTTCTTTTAGGGGAACTTCAGACACGCGAGAAAAAATTCTTTTACCGGGGGAGGGGGCAATGTGTTTGTAAAACGAAACATTTTTTTTTTTACGACTTCAGGGAAGCGTCCCTGAAACGACATAGGTGTGAACCAACAAGCAAATATAGTTTCACAGATTTTCGACCGAGAATTCCGCTGTGAAAATATTCAAAGACACAGGATGCTTACGTATGGGCAGATGGCTCCTTGAAGAAACTAACGGAAGAAGTCAGCCGTCTGCGCCGACCTTTGGCGCACCGCGGCATGTGAACCGGGCCAGGCGAATTCAAATACAATGAATGATAGTTGCTTCATCGACGTTGTCTATATTCAACAGCCGGGCCGTTTAATATCTGGTGCTGTAGAAACTGGGATGCCGGCAATAATGCAAACCGTGGCGTTTTTAAATGCAGCGACCTTAATTTCTCCTAGTCGAGCGTACGACGTCTCTTAATTACCGATACAATTAAACGAATTATGATACCATGTGTAAAATTAAATGAAATATACAGGGTGTCTCGTTTAAGTGTGACAGCCACGAATATACTTAATTTTATTGTGAAGACGCGAAAAATATTTTATACGCTATTTGAATGGTATTCAATGGTCAGTATTCTGCAGAGTATCCGCGAGATAATGCGTGTACGTAACGTTCATATTCAAGTGGGTCTTATGGGGGTTCTCGGCTCCCTCAGTTTCCTCGCAGATGTCGAGAAAAAGGGGCCTCCCTAAACATCTTGTCCGGGACGAAGGGCCTCGGGAGAGTCATGTTTCTGTTCGCGCAAAAAGGGACGCGAAACCGCAGTTGTCGGACGAACTTGGAACCACCGCTGGTCGTGAGAAACTCAGCCTTGACGAACTCGAAACCTGACTTTCTTCCCACAAAAATCATCGTCTGACCGCCCCCTGAACCCATTTTCGAAGAATGTCCAAATCAAAGTCACGGACGACAAAAATTATCCATTGATAAAATTATCGTAGTCAGGGGCAAGGGGGGGTCGTCTTGCCCCCTACAGGGAAAGAAGTGGATTTTTCCTTCCCCTCCTTCCCCATCCTCCCAAAGGAGAAAAGTAATATTATGAAATTTTTCAAGAAGGTAAATAATCCTACACCAATGTCGTTTATTTCTTCAGTTGTTTAGATAACCGAAAGCCTGTCTATCTCCAGAGCAAGAGTCAATCAACCTGGGTAGAGTATACATGTATACGTCAGAAATAATCGTGGATTAAAGACACGTCCCGTCGATGGATCCCATTAGCCGCGATCAAGCAAGAACACACACACGTATATGTGGTCCAGCTGTTAATAAAGTGCACGGAATCGTTTTGTTCTCGTTTTCACGAAACCGTTTCACCGTTCGTCACGGATATATAACGTTTTGTTCCCCTCGTTGGATTCATTAAGCGACCCACGTCATTCCTTTTTGTACCCTCCCGCGTGGTTTTCGACCTTTCTCTCCCGACTCGACGCGCATACTTTTTCCATTTAAAACACGTTTGCGTCTAGGTTGTTTTTGTGTAGATTACGGATGAATATTTTCATTTTGGTCTGTGTATCGATTCGAGCCGTGTAATTTTCGAATTAATTGAGACAATCTTTTAATCAAGCTCCCAGATACAGTTTACCCCCTCTGAATATGAAAAAAAAAAAAAAATAATAATAGACAACACTTTCGTGAACTCACCTGTTGCGGGCTGGCGTCCGCCGGTGAGAAGCTAGATAGGGCGGTTAAGGGCGCTAGAGATGCGCACGAGGACGCCCTCGATGGTGGCGGTGTGTGACCAGGGGTCGGACTTCCGCTTCCGCAACTGCTTGCACCCCCGCTCGAGGCGAGACTCACGCTGTCCGCTCGCCCTCTCCACGGCGAGACCGACACGTGCTTCAACATTCCTCTGATCTCACCTGAAAACAGGATTTGTTCGTACTTCTGCGTCCGTATACTTAAACTAGAATCCGATGGATGACAGTGGTAAAACAACTAATAACGAGTATAGATTGTTAGATACATCGAATTATTAAAATCCGTTTACGGTACAATTAAAATCTATCAACGTCGAATTTTAATTCAAGCCGAGCCAGGATCAAGGATGCAGTTCAATTAAAGTCACTGTCAACGCAAAAACTAAAAACTGGTTCCATACCGATGACGTCGAGGAACCTCAGCGCTGTGACTAGCGGGAAACTCGGGAACAGGTTGAAGCCAAGGTGAAATTCCTGCTCCAATTTTCGTCCGTCTATTTGTCTCTGTTTCGACGTCTAAATTGAGACGATAAGAGCGAGCGCGTTGAAAATAAGAGGTTATAGCATCTTCTACGCCCGTGTCAAGGTTGCAAAAGGAAATAATCGTGGCGAAGGCCGTTCGATAATTATCGGGGAACGGCGGGATTGCCGGGTGAGTAAACGTGAAACTACCGAGTGCAATTCGCCGAGAAACCAGACACGAGGTTGCACATACGTATCAGAACCGATCGCCGGCCGATTTCGTCTCTCGAAATGAAAACGGAATGGGAGGAGAGAGAGCCATTCGGTACTCGCGTAAACAGCTAAAATGCAAAACACACAGCTGCGTACCAGAAGCTCTACGAACGTTAATCCTTTAACTCCCAATGTTGCCCTGGTGCAACACTCACTTTAAAAGTCCGTCAAATTTTGTCATTACTATCTAACGTTTGTCAGAAAGGATTTGTAGTTTCACTGATATAAAGTAGATCTCCATATTTTCAGGTGAGAAATTCAAGTTTTTCAAAAAAATGAAAAGTAAGTCTGTTCAATATTGATATTTTCGACTTCAAAATAACAAGATATGTATATATATATATATATATATCAGTCTAATAATTTAAAAAAAAAAAATCAATTTTCGGATCTGAGTGTTAAAGGTGTAAACAATTACGAAACTGCCGCTGGAGGTCGAGGCGTACAGGTAAGCAGAGGCCTACGTACGGCCCGATTGTTGTATATTTCCATAACGAGGAGAGCGAAAAAAAGAGGTAACTATTCCCACAGCCGTTAACTGTATCTTTGCCCATTAATAATAATTACCCCGAACTACGCGCCGGTTGTAAGCAATCCTTGCAGGAAAGAACGGTCGATGGATCGGTAATCGATTCGTTTGCATTCTTATTCTTATTTAACATGCTGATTGTTGAATTCATACAACTTATTTTTAGAAGCCACGCAAGTAATGTTACTTATATTTTCAGTCATGAATTTTCATCAATACTTCGTTATATCTGTGCACCGTTGAATTTGTAGACAGCTTGAAATTATCGAGGAAGATAACTAAATTATTTCGAAAGGTATTCGTACAAAAAAAAAAAAAAATGAATAATTGTTTGTTCACGTACCATCACTATAGTGTAATACAATTGAATTATTGGCGGTTTACAGACTTGATAAAAGTTGACGTTTATATCGCACGTGCTCGTAGGTTCGATAATGCATTACAGAATATCAAGGAAATATGTACTCACTTTTACGAGTTCACAGCTGAGTGCAGCCCGCACTCGCGGTTCGTTGCATACGTCAATGCGCGGAAATCATGTTTACACTTGACGAACAAGCGGCATTGACTGCGACAAATTACACTGTATCGACACTACCGTGAAAAATCTTTCAAATAGTGTCTATATTCAAAAACAGTCACTATTAATTATAAATTCTCGAATCTCAGTTCTCCTCCCAATCGGAGCACAATTTTGTTCACAAATTGTCCAGAAATCCACGTGAACCACCAAACACGAGATCCCTTCAGTCTTCTACCGATTTTATATTCGAAAACATTCCAAGTAACGTTTCAACGATGGTAGAACGCGCCTCCTCGAACAAGCATTGAAATCACTCGTGACGCGACTTCACCGCCGCGTTCTGCACGCCACGAGCGCTACGATACGACTGACGGGGACGAGGACTCGGACTCGGGACTCGGGGAACTCCGACTGACTCGGCGGACGCGCGAGCCGACGAACAAAAACGACGTGGTATAATAAAGCCGCTCGGCCCTGGCGTGGAGGAAGGAAAACGACCTTCCTTGTTGTTGTGCACAAGAGACACACATCGAACGACTACTAGGTGAATGTTCCGTGCGGCTTTCAGTGTGTTTGTGCGACGCGTAGGCATTGGAGCTTTGGAACCGTACTGCAGAGATGGACAAATTGATTATAAAGACAAAGAGCTTCGAATAACGAATAGAAGATAAAAAAAAAAAGGTATGTACTTCGTCATTTTTAACCTCTTAACTGTGAATGACGAGTATACTCGTGATGAAGAGATGGCAATTTTTCATGTAATGGAGAATATACGCGTCATGCGAGAAAAAGTAACTACTATTTGTTAATTGTAAATTTTAGCGACACAACGTAGATACACACTTTAAAAAAGCGGCATCACAGCTATGAGGTTAATCGTTTAAACATGGAACTTTAAATTTTTATAATAAAATAATACTTCTTCTTGAATGAGTCGACATTTAGGAAATAATTATTTAATCTTATTAACTGTTTAAACTTCAGAATGGTGCTCTCGGATACTTCGACTACATATATGTTATTCGAATAAAATTGTACTCAACTTTGTCGTACGGACGTATGTGCACGGATGGCCCCCGAGGTTTCGCGATGTTTTTTAGCAAATGCGTGGGCGTTCTGCTGTAAGCACGAGGATGTACGTGGTTTAATTCGGTTTCCCTTCTGATTTCGCCCTTCCGTTTGCCTTTGTTCCTCGGGGTGCATACGATTACGATGAAACGCATCAACTGCGTCGTGACATACAAAGGATTACCTACGAACTGGTGTGCATTATTTTAGAGTGAAAACAGAACATAGTTGTGATCTGGAGATTATCGATAGAGAAATATTTTCATTGAATACTAGGAGGTTTTTAAATGATAATTAAAATTTCGTGAACGCAACCGGTAGCTTCCTAAGCGAGTAAATTACAATGTCGTGGGTGGAACGTGTCTCGCCTAATAATGAACGTCACACGTGAGTTTCTGGATTTATGAAAATCACAGTGTACTTCGATAAAATACATTACGCATGTACGAAGGTTTTTGGGTTTTGTTAGTTATTCTGACGTATGTTTTGTCTAGAACTATTACACTATGCACGTGAGTTTTCAAGAAATAGACGTCATTTTCTTCGAATAATATAGAACGTCATTTCGATATTTATTCAAGTAAACGATAATAATACATGGATTTATAGCAGAATTGAAACATTTAATCGACAATACATATGTTTCAATTATTCAATTGAATAATTCTAATTGATCTATTGAAGAACAAAGACAATTCAAGGGGGAATATCGACGTAAACTGTGTATATAATTGACAACAATTTTCCCATAAAATGAAATTCCTTTTTTTTTACTTCCTTTTGCGGGAAGCCAAAAGGAGAATGTTAAACCATTCTGCCGATAAACTCCCACACAACGATCGCGACGCGTATCGAAGCGGCCTGCCGCGCCGTGACGACTTATCTCGGCTACAGAAATTTCGTCGCCGTGTGTCCTGAAGGAGACGATATTTTATTTATGCGCCAGTACTTGTCGACGAAAGAGGAAAAAGAAACGAAAGGTCTGCTTCCTACGTGATCGCTCGGCACACACGAACACGCATGGGCGTCGATCGTACCTCAAAGAAGAAGGGCTCACGACGACTGTCCGATGGAAAAGAGATTCACGTGGGAGTAAAACTAATTTTCGATTTATTTTAACGCGACCGTTATACACAATTGTGAAATATTCATATTCGCGGAAAAACCGCTTCCTTGATCGAAAAGATCGACGGGTCTAGAGGAAAAGAAGAATGTTTTGATTACTAACGGGTTAGATACGGATCTAGATCGAATCTGCAGTATGTACTCGCGCGGTAGGTACTTGTAGAGTGTAGAATGAACGAAAGTCATGAGTTTGCTTTCATTCCGGAAGCAACGGGAACACTTTACTTCTTGCCAATGATAATCTTTTCGTAGATTTCTCCCACGATGAGGGATAGCGTGAAGTGTTCGCCAGGTAAAAAGAATTGAAGCGTCTGGAAATAATGGTTCCCTTCATGAGGCAATGGAGGGAGAAAAATATGAGTAGTACGGTGAATCCTCGATGAGTGTCGAAGTCTCTTCGGCACTTAACAATAAATATTTCATAAACTAATGGCTGTATGCGACTGAAACAAATATCATTGACTTCCGAATTCCAAGGTCTATCACTGTGTTAAACCTCATTAAAAAGTCAACGTCACACCTGGGGTCAGTGCCGAGGAGTCTTTGAACACTCATTGCGGATTTACTATATTAACACGATTGCGTTGAAAGCACTTGTGCTGTTATAGATTTTCAGGTAGACTGTTGAACGTCAAGGTCGAAGGTATTATACCTGGAATCCTCGCAAAGAGAGTTTGGTTCCACGTATATAGGGTGGCTACTCAGCCGAATTACAATGCAGTGGCAGCCGTTAAAAGTGTATCGAACGGGATCCTCGAAACCGATACTTTAAGCAAACGGAACCTCGAATTGTAATTGAAAAAGATACCCGGTTTGCAGTATACGAATTATATGTTTATTCTCTCTCGGAATCCCCATTAATTGGCAACTATACGAATTACTATTAATTGGCTACATTCTCTTCGTATTTAAAAGAATTTTTTTTCCGTTAACCGAGGTCGAAGACCCGCTTGGTATAACGAAGAAGACACTCACCAGTGGCGGTACCATCAAACGCGTTTCGTGGCAATCTCAATCCCGCTAAAAACCGCGGAGTAAACACAGTGCAACGCGAAAATCGTGGAGTATCAACCACGCGTAATAACGTGATTCGTTCGTACAACACACGTGCCTTTTGTCGCTAACAACGAGACCCCTGTGAAGTAGTTCCCTCCTCTGACAGTCTGGCTTAGTTCACCGCGATCTCGAGGGGAAAATTCAATTAGCTTCGGCAACTAGATCGCCGGCGTTTCAGCTGTAAAATCCTTAGATAAGTCTGAAGCACATGTAGTAAATCAACTACGATGCGAGAGGAATGGGACTGAAAACCTCGAAACGCTTGATTATTCTTCCGTTTGTACAACATTGTAGTCCTGAACTGTTTGCGTATAAAGGGTCCTTCAATGATATAAAATCCACTTACAAATTAATATAAGCACGAAACTGGTACTCAATCAGGTGGAAACATTAAGATAAAATCCGAAAAAGTCTCATTTTCTCCGGACACATTTTCCCCCATAGTTTTCCCCACATTCCTAAAACACCTACCTCCCTCGATAACTGCTCAATTAACAGGAGGCTACTGTACTTTACCGTATTAATGCACAGTATATTATGCGTATACAGTAAAGTCTCAACGAGTGTTTCAAGGCTCCTCGGCACTGAACATTAAATATTTCATAAACAAATAGACCCAGCTCTATTACTGTGTTAAATCTCCTTAAAAAGTCAACGTTATACCTGGGAACGTCTCCTTGTCAGTGTCGAGGAGTCTTCGAATATTCATCAAGAATTTACTGTACAGTCTGTCGTCAGAATACTGACGAAATTGAAAATAATATTTTAACCTACGATAAGGATCGACTGTCCTCGAGCCACCATTGAATTATGGATCGTGTCGCTCGGCGAGGGTACTCGGTTAGAACGAAGGCAGCGAGCAAATCGGAACCACGGTGGGCAGCCACTTTATCCTCGTGCACGCAGCGACGAGCAGGCACCGCGAGCATACGGCCACGGTATGCGTATAGACTGTACAGAGTATGCGTCGCTATGGGAGTTTGGCAGCATCGGGTCCAGTCCCTGGACGGGGTCTCATGGTGTTGCGTTACTTTCCCACAGGTGAGCCTCTTCCATCGTGTGCAATTCTTTCCAGGCTGCACGGCGCACGCCCACCGTGTGCACCTGTACGTGGTAGGTGCATACGAACACGCTGGGCCCCGGTGAACGCACACCGCCATCCAGCGGGGACCAGCGTGCTCGAGACGAAAACGGGGAGGAGAACGTCGGAGGCGAATGAAAAAGAAGGGAGAGAAGCACGCATCTCACCTTGCAAGGCGAACCTGTGTCCCCCGCCCGTCTGTATATATGTATACATATCCATCGAAACTGAATATACCCGTACGTAACACTCGGTTATGATGCGCGAAATAATGTTACCCACCCGAGGGGGGTTGCTTTTAAATTTCAGGCTGCAAGACCTGACGGAAGCTGTACGACAAAGCGAAGGGCCGCCTGATATACGGCAATTAGAATGGAAAGTTAGTGCCGTGAGATGGTAAGGTAAAAAATGAAATTGAGACCCCGGTTACGGGACAATTTTTTCTCGTCGATAGTATTCGAACACCATCTTCCTTTGTCGATAAGATAACCGGATCCTGTAAATGTGTGGTTACGGTGCAATGTCATTTTGAGTGGTATGATCTAATTAAAAGCACGATTTTTCGAAGTGGTAATTGACTTTTTTTTTCTGTTCGATAAACGTTCTGGACGGGTGAACGATCGATGTAATTTAATGTCAATCCTCTCTGTCCTGGTAAGGTCTAGCTTCCGGTCTGCGTGACGGAACCCA